GCGAAGATAAACAGCTTTGAGAAAAACAATACTGTGTTCCTCATCATCATCATTCACAGCACATTCATACAGCATCTCTGAGGTCAATGGCTGCATTATAAAGTGTTCATTTATGTTAGGTTAAAAAAAAAATAAGCAAAGCAAAGAATGTTTCTGTGCAGTTTCTGCTGTTACTGAGGTGGGAGATTGTCACGAGAGGGCTGAAGGTGGTAGCCCACCTGCTGCAAAATGATGGAGACATGCCATCAGCCAAAGCTCACACTTTGCTGCTTCTTCCACTCTCTTTTGGAGGTTTCGTTACTGTCATTTTGTACATTAATTTTTCATATAAAAATGGTACTTTATAATATCCAGCTTTCAAAGAAAACATTTTCCCCAACTTTTATTGGCTCAAAATATTAGAAAGTTTTGAAATTAGCAATAATGCAAAGAAAAAAAGGAACGAGAAATAAAAAACCCCACTTTTGTTATCAAAAGCCATCCTATGACCTTAACTTTGCACAGAGAGGAAAAAATGTTTCTGGTTTCACAGGACAAAGAATATTTATTTCCCTTTAAATGGAGAAACAGATGCAAAGAATACCTTCTAAAATGCACTGATATATCTTACTATTTTAAAGAGGCTACTTTTAAATGGGTTAATTTTGTTCTGCATGAAACTGCATAGAGAGTTAAATTTACAACTCGGAGGCAAGGTGAATATATATGTGACCCAAAACCATGCCTAAAAAATACAAAATACCCTTCACACAAATGAGGCCCCTATGAGCTGGATCTTCCTGCCTGGCAGGGTGGGTGCTGCAGTCCTGAGGGTGCTCCTTTGAAGCTCCTGCATGACACAGTAGTAATCTTAATTGCAGGGAAAGAAAACTTTGTTTATTCTCCATTTAACAGAAAAAAACCTTTTTATTTGCCAATAAAACCCAAGGCCCTTATGCTGAATAGCATTTTAATTTCTGATTAGAGGCAGACTTGCACATTTAGGGCCACAGCCAGCAAGTTATTGAGAAGAGTAACTTTAAGTGCCTGCATATTGCTGTTGATTTGGGGGCTATTTCTCCACTGCACCAAACAGACTGCCATGGCTAAATCTTCTCTGGCATAGCAACAGTGCCGTGTCAGGTAACGTTACAAACGTTAGCCTCTACAAACCCAGCTACAAGATGCTGAAGAGAGAATTTGGTGAAAGGGGACAGTGGAAGGAAGTTGCAAGCAGGAGTGTGTTTGAGAGCATCTGGTGGGGAGGGGTCTATATGTGGGACTAACTGATGTATCATGGGGTTATTGCATTTTTCTACTCTTCCTTTTTTCTTGTGAGGCCTCTGCTGTGGACCAACATCAGAGATCAGAAGCTGGGATAATGGGATGTGCTCGCTGGTGGCAGACCCTCTGACAGGAGCTCAGCACCCTGATCTCTTTGCAGCCTGCGACCCCTCAAAAGATGCTCAGTGGTTCCTGGGGTGGGGGAAGTGGCAGCGGCAGCCCCAGGGCCAGTGGAGGTGCAGGCAGCTCCAGCGGGGTGTGAAGCATGAGCCACATGCCTCCTGACCTCTCTCGCTGCAGAGACCTGAGTGCAGTTACAGGCAGGAAAGAGGGCTGCTGCTGTTTCACTCCTTCGCAGGAGGCACCCTCTTGCCCAGGTGTACCACCTCATCTTCGCTGGGCAGCACAATGGGATTTTTCAGGCTTTTATGTGACAGCTGTGTTTTCATGCCAGAGGTGTGCAAGGGACCAGCGCATCCTGTACTGCAATGTTTGACATCCTGAGCAGACTGCATCTTTCATGTGCTTTCAGCATCATCTAACAGGCTTTTGAAAGTCAGGTCATCTAGGAAAATCTGCAACTCACTGACTGTTCTGGAGTGCAAATGTTTCCTTTGTGGTGCCTACTTTAGGAGCTCTGTTTAATAAGCTAACTGCGTGTTCAGCGATGCACCTACAGCATCCCATTTTGTGCATAAGTTATTCCACTTAAGGGTTGAAATATCTTTCTTTCGCCTGGTGCAATCTTTATTTTTCACAGTCTGGAGACTGAGGAGATGATATTGGTGATGGTGAGGGGAGATATTAATCTCTACTTTTGCAGGATCCATGGGAGGCTGTCTGCCTGGACTGGAAAAGTACATGCATTTATATTTGCAGCACAAAAGCCGGTCTTCAATTTTTTTAATCATTTGTACGTCTGCTCTACAGATCTGTTAAGAAGAATCTGGTCTATGTGATGAAATAGACACAAGCTGATACAGGGGAGGTAGATGTGTACGTACATCTACAGTGTTTGTGAATTGCTCGTATAGTCATATTTGAAAAAAACACTTCTGCTTAAAATGGTGAGCATTGATTGCAGTACTGCAAAAAGAGCAGGACAATTTAAAACCAGACTGGCTTCTGTAATTCAGAAGTGACTTCAGCAGAGGTAACCTAGCACATAACATCTTGACGTTGTTTTTCAACTGGGAAAACTTCTGTGAAAGAAATACCATTACACAGTTTCTTGCAGAAACAAATTCTTTCTCATTCATCATCTTCAATTCTCTGATTTTTACAATAGACTGCAGTGCTTGTTTGCACTATTTCTGTGTACATGGATGATGTAACTAATATATCAAACCATTGTGCTCACTTAAAGCAGTGATGTGCTGTTGAAAAACTCTCTCTCTTTCTGTTCTAGAAAAGGCATAAAAAATTAATCATCTAACCAGTGCAGAAATGGAGAATGTATTATATTTTCCACAAAAAAAAAAATCATAATTGCACCCACGATGCCTGCTTGTATATGATTGACATGCCATGGAATGCAAAAACTCATAGACTGCTGCTAGTTTATGGAGAGGCAGGCTGCACTGCAGTTTGAGAGCTCAATAGCTAGCGGGGAAATATAGATGTTACACAAGCTAATACAATGTCTGCTAATTACATAATCAGTTCTAGAAGAAAATGAGCACCAAAGGAGTGATTATATAGCTGTCTACCTTAAATATGCATACAAAAAATGTCTGGGTAGTGAGCAATTGCATTGTGCATCACTTGCTTTGTATATTACTCTTACTATTATTATTATATTGTTATTATTACTACTACTATTTTACTTTCTTTTCTTTCAATTATTAAACTGTTCTAATCTCAACCCAGGAGTTTTCTCACTCTTACTCTTTCGATTCTCTCCCCCATCCCATGGGGGCAGGGGGAATGAGTGAGCGGCTGCGTGGTGCTTAGTTGCTGGCTGGGGTTAAACCACGACATTGGGAAAAGATTAAGAAAGGTTATTTTAGAATACAATTAAAAATCTGCTCTAAGTAGAAAAGGGAGTGTCACAGTTGGCTGCAGTTAGCAGGACAACTGCATAGCCCTCCCAAAAGGCCAAATTTTACATGCTGGTGGGAAGCACACAGATTATATTGCAGAGGTGTCAAGAGCTCTTCCGCAAGGTCTGCATTACTGCCCTGGCTCTGGGACAGCCCTGGGTGGGCTGTCACCCCTCGGCATGCCCGGTGGCCTCTCTGGGCACAGTGGCAGTGGAGCACAGGCAGCCTCCACCATGTGCCCATGCCGGTGTCCCCAGCAGCATCCCCGCTGCTGAAATGGAACAAAATGTACTGGCAGGGGGTGACGAGGGTCAACAAGCCATGGAGAGACACCCATTCCTGATGACTGGGTCAAGGGCATAAGGAACCATTGGAGATGAAACCTTGCCTCCTTGGATCCCTCCCTCACCTAATCCCATCCATCGGTACAACAGTTTCACGGTACTTTGGTTTTGTTTCTGGTTCCATTTTAACCTCAGTTTGGTGACTCTCTATTGCATAATGATCATAATTAGGATTGTTAATTAAGATAATTAACATTCTTTTTGTAATTCTCCAACAACCTCACAGGACTTGAAAGATGTTTTAAGAGTAAAATGATTATTGTAACACTCTATCTTATCCCAACTTGCTAAAAGACTAAGAAACTTGTCACCAGAAAACTTATTTGGAGATACTCTTTTATAGCCCTTGAGACCGAATAAGTGACAATACATGTAAAACCAGAAGAAACAGACTCTCATTCCTTTCTCATTCCTTTTAAGCAGAACTGTAATATAAGATGGCATACGCTGCAAAAATAGACCTATAACTTCAGTTATTCTCTATGCATGCAGTAGCATGCACACCCAGTTTTGAAGAGTTAAGGGTGATAAGCAGAAAATATAATCTAAGATGACAGGATGCATAGATTTTGGTAGCATTATTTATTACTTCATTTAAGGAAAAGCACCACTGATTTTTTTAAGCTCTTTTCTTAGTACAACATTAAAATAATTTCTGCGTTTAGTATGAAAGGAAACAGGAAGTGGGACACTGTACTCACCCTTGTTGACCACTATTCACAAATGCATTAGAAATCTGCCTTTTCTAGTCAATATAGGATTGGATATATCACAGTCAGTAAATCAGATAACCAAGCATTTGAAGTAATTTAGGGTTGTTTTGTTTTGTTTTTAAAAGACAACAAACCAGACTTATTGAATGATGCTGTGTTTACAAAGCATTTATGAAATCAACATAACAGTCTTATATTTTAATTTAAACTGCCTAGTAATGGAATTTTAACCCCTAAATGAAATTTCATTGTCTCAGTCTTTTCTTCTGTGTGTTGACATTCCCTCTGCACAACAGTTTGCATACACAGCTAATTTTAATATTAACCTCACAGCACCAGTTTCAATCAATTCGAGCACTTCAACAGAAATCGTGTTGGAACATAAAAGTCCTCTGTGATCTCAGTTTTCTCTCCTTAGTTTAGAAATAGTGCCATCTGATCATTTTTGCTACATTTTTCATTGTTTCCCCTATCTTGTGGTTGTTGTTTACGCAGCGGTGCTACTTGTGCAAAGGCAGATAATCCAATAATGTGAAAGTGGTTGGAAAAGAACTGCAAAACCACGGTCATGCTCAGTTTCAGGGCAAAACAACTGGCAAGCATCTTTGGCTAAATTAACTTAACAGTAAGCACCTCACCCAAGCTGAAGTTGCTACTATATAACATACCTGGTAATGCATTAATATATGCATGATGTAATCATATATTTCTCCAGCAAGTCGGTTTTCTGGTCTCCAGGGAATAATAACGAACTGAATGCCTAGTAAGGGCACCAGGATTAAAGTGGCTCTGACAGCTTTCATATACATGTTGGACTCAGCACGGTGGGTATCTCTTAGCTTTGTCACCAAAACTCGGACAATGTTAAGCAAAAAGAAAAAATTGACCTGCAAAAGCAAAGCCATTACAGGTGAAAGCATTCAAATTAAACACACATTCAAAATAAAAATACAGAGCACATAAGTGGCAGTAAAATGTAACTTTCCAGCTTTATTGTAGCTCATAATGGGCAGCCCCTTGGGAGTCAGGCCTTGGAAAGTGCCCTGAATGTCTTCAGAAAAGAGATGTTAAGCTGCTCTACATGATTCCTGTAGGAAGCCTGCATGGATGTTTCAGGCAGGTAGGGATCAGTTCTAGGATGCACTGGCTGTTTTGACACTGATGTAGGCAAATTTAGGATTTCCAGGGAACAATTAATCTCATTTTTATGTCTAAAGTTAAAACAGGATGGACGAATTGTCCCCTACGAGTAACTATGTCTCTCTTCTGAGTCTGAAGGTCACCTAGGTATCTTGCTTCAGTCTGCACTGAAGATGTCTGCAGACAGGTGAGGCAAACCCCAGCATGTCTCTGGGTGTATGGGACCTATGGGGGCACACAATTTCTCTGAGGAATGTGCTCCAGCTTACACAGGCCAATACTTCAGGCTTGTGTATGAGCAGAGAGACAAGGCTGTTCTTGAGAAAGACCTAGGCAACCCCTTGCCTCCATCAGACTGCATGGCCCCATGATACACTACCCACAGGTAAAAGCTAACACTTGCTGGCTCAGGGCAGAAATGCCAGACACTTCAGAAAGTTTTGCCCCTGACCCTTACGGTCAGTGATGCCAAGTAGCCCAGCATCTCATCTCAGTCATTTCTGGAAATCTGATTCCAGCTGTGGATGCTCAGCATACGGAAACCTGCTCTTGACCCTGGTTCACAGAGAGCTCCTTGCAGGATGTGCTGAGAGCCTGTGGAGGAACAGGGAGGGCAGATCCAGACTGATAATGAGCCCAGTGGGTACTCTATGGACATCCTAGGCAGCACAGACCTTCTCTCCAGTGTACCCACATCACTCTTTTCCATTCTGTTACAGTAATATCAGGCACCTATGCTTTGGAACTTCAATAGACTTTTTTTCAGATAATTTTTTTTAAAATCAGTATGTAAGTAGCACAACTTACATAGATATTTTAATAGCCCAAATTCCATAGATGTATGAGAAATTTCAGCTGAATGCTTCAGAACAATAAAACACGAATCAGTATGCACTTCATCACTTCTTAACTACTGAGAGACCTTTCAAGTGTTTTACATTTGTGCTCTACTGGAAAAAAGGAATAGAAAATTACTTCTGAGGTCCTGTTCAGTGTTAAATCTAAACCTTATTCTCCATCCTACTCTGACTTCACTCACTCTGCTTAACCTTCACTTTTAGAATTTCTGGAAGTAACTGTGAAAACTGGAAAAAAGACTTTACAAAGGTAAAAATCCTCAGCTCTTCTGAGTCAGTCTGTCACTATGGGATTTTTGTAGCAAATCATGCAGGACATTCTGTAGACATTGACATTTTCACAAGAAAAATAAGACTGGAAATGGCATAAGCACAAGCCAGAAATTATATTGCCTTGTTTTGAAAACAGTTAAAGATTGCTTTTTTTCCATAAAAAACAGTCCCTCCTTTTTTCTTTGTGGCTAAGATGTAAAGACTTGGAGCATGGTAATAAAAATAGAGGTTGACTGGCCTCTCCTAGAAGTTAGTTAGCATTACAACAGCAGAAGCAATCATCAAGATCGAATCAGTAAACCCACAATGGATGTGATTCTATGGGAACAGCAAGCTATCTATATGACAGGGAGGAATGGGCTTCTTCACATTGCTGATGTTCAAAACTGCTTCTCAAGAAAGGGTAGAAAGATTTTCAGGTTTTTCAGCTACTAGACAGAAAGTTGTTTCTTCATTCAAAGGTGTTCCCAGTATTCACCGCCCTGTTTGATCTCTGAGGTAATTACTGCAGGTGTGTCCATGCAGATGTTTGCAAGCAAGAGGCAGCTCAAAAGCTGAAAGTACATCTTGGGTGATACAATGAGGTGAGCTTGGGGCTTGGGTTGAATAAAACCCTTTCTGCACCTTTCAGGAAGGTCAGGGTTACCATGCCAAACAGCACCACTGGCGTACAAGGCGCGGTATATACACACATTGCTGAGCTGCACTTAGAATCTTGGCCTCCTACTCAGACAGCCCAGTCCAGTCCCTTCCCTGGACTAGTTTTGCTCCCTACCTTTGGACCATACCAGTTCAGTGACCAGTAAAACTCATGCTGAGTGACCAGCCTGCACTTAGCTCACCCCAGCTAAGGCATAGCTAAATGCCTCATTGATGTCACATAAATGCAGTAAATTTGTCACAAATAAGTTACGCTGTGAGAGAGTCACCACCCCGATTTTCAAAAGCAGTTGGTGATTCTCCCTCAAAATCTGATTCTTTACTGGGAGGTCCTTTTATGGGACTTGTTTTAGAGAAGTGTTGAGAAACTGTCCTTGTAACACTGAGTAGAGAAAACCTCTACCTACTTCTGAGTTTTGACAAAAATACTTAAAGTACAGAAACTTCCGTACTGTACAGGTTAGCAGCATTTCTAAAATAGTTATTAAACTATTGATAGCAAATAATATTCTTACCAATAAAGCTGCCATTACAGGTCCATGAACAATGTAGAGCAAGTGTGTGTCAACACTCATCCAGCAGCTGGAGGGGAAATACTCCATTAAAATTTATTATTAACTCAAATAAAATGTGTTACACAGTTAAATAATGCTAAGTTCCTTCAAAAACAGACATGCTACTCACTTGTCATTGAAGTATCTGGCTCTTGCAACAGCATGAATAGATGCTGGCACTAAAGGGAACCCTGAAATGATTAAAGTTATAGATCAGTCTTGGTATTTTTTTAGCTTGAATTTCATGTGTCACACACACTAATAAGTCTCTTGTCTACAAAACACATGTACGTGAAATCACAGCTTTCAGGAAAGAACTGCAATCCCACTGCACTCAGGGCCCTAGATTACCTTGATGGTGAGATGCAAAAGGGAATAATGTTCAAGGCAGGCCCGTGGGCCATGCCCTCCTGGGGTATCACAAAGCTGCTACCAGGGTCCCCTGTGCCGTTGTGGCTTGTGCAGGGAAGGATGTGAGCAGCTGATGTGGGAAGGATGCGGCGATCATTCAGTTCTCAGCAGAGTATTCCCTCAGGAAACCAGGGACACTTGTTAAAACCATGTAAATCATGGTTGAGCAAGACAGAGGCACATAAACTCACATGCCAGATTATGGAGCAATAAACAACAGAGCGAGGATTTGCTCTTTTGGAGCCTATGGCAAAAGAAAATGTTTGAACCCAGGCGGTTTTTTGGGGGATGGGGATTTGTGACATCTTCTGCAGGTTCCCAGCCTCTGTACAGCCAAGTCCACCTCATGCAGCTTTATGTGGATACCATAAACCCCACATCTCCTGACTTTTCTGTGAAGCCTCAGAGGAGGCCACTGCTCTGACAGGGAGCTGATGGGAGAAAATTTGGGAACATGCCATACTTAAGAAACTGGAAGGCTCAAATTCTTATTTCCAGCCTGACAGTACGAGTGACAATCTGGGCCACTCCTGTCCATCTTCCTTCAGTTTGGTTGTACGTTGTGTCCCTCTCCAATAGGTGAGAAATCTGGGAGTGGGGAGTGTGCGCTGCAATACTGACCCCAGTTTGTACAACCCTGCACTCACAGACAGCTGGCCAGCGGGGAGATGATCTACTGCCTTGTCAGTCCTGTACAGAGGGCTGTGTGGACACCTTTGGTGTTACTGCTGCCCGTCCCCTATAAACCATGGATGTTTCTTCTGAGATTTGGATATTATATAATTACAAATAAAAATGTGTGAAAATGTCCTGCCGATACTGTGATTAGTCACAGAGGGAAGAACATGGCTTCTTGTTTCTTCGGGTGTTAGTGATTTCATAAACACTTTTAGAAAAGACAGAGAATCCTTAGCCAAATTCTGGGGAAGTCTTACCTCAGAACACAGGCCAGCCAATGCTGGAGTGAGAATAAGGTCAAAAAAGTATGTAAATAGGACACTGATGTCTCCAGGTATCTTTAAGTAACAGCTACTTACTTTACTGCCAAAAGAATTTTTTACTGCAGTTTACCTTGGGAGGACAATGCAGCTGTGGGAGAACAAACTGAATTGCCTTCTCCTTCATATATTGTTAGAAAATGATTACTTGGCCTCTGGCTGCAGAATGCCTTTTTTGGGTGATGATGCACAGCAGAACAACAAAAAGCTTAGAACAGAAAGAAAGAATCTTCCAACCTCAGGGTGAGCTTATGGGATTGACAGCTTGAGAAAATCCTTTTGATTTGGAAATAGAGCAAATCTGGGCCAGTTTTGTGCAATTTTTGTGCAGATTGAAGTGCAATTTTTAAGGGGCCCTTCTGTAATAGCAAAAATCCTTCATCTGAAAGCTCTGGCCTGGAGTACCGCGAGTAGAGTTCTCCACATGATGCCCAGGGACCTTGCTGCTTCTGCTAAATGCATTAGCCTAGAATATTTGGCTCAACAAACTCACAAGCAAATCTTAAGAACGCGACGGAAAGTTTTCATTAGTCACGGTAAGAAGCTCATGACTGTCTATGGCTCAAATTTCCAGCTGCAGGCTGGATGGGCTCTTCTAGGGCTAGGTGTTGCTCTTCTCTTGTAAAGGGTCAAAAGGCAGAGAGTTAATGAGCAGTGGAGCACCAAGGTCTGTTGGGTCTTGCTGGCACATGTATCACTTCAGGGGTCCCACCAACACGTGGTAAGCAGTGAGTAACTTAGAAAAGGTCTTACCCCAGCCATCCCAGGAAAAGGTATGACATATCCCTTTAGGTCATGCTAGGTCCTTTATGGCACAAACTGGCAATTATGCTTAATTGTATTTCCAGTTCAATTTGGAAGACACTCTGTTTCAGCACTGTCCAAATAGATGATTCCCTTTTCACTTTTATGTGGATGAAGCTGCCTGAAGCAGCCAGAGTGGACTGTAGCTGGATGCACACATTTGATACTGCTTTCTTGCCCTGCATAAGGGTGATTTCCTGACCCAGTGAAACAATAACAAATGAGATATTACATCTCCAGCAGCAGTTCCCAGAGAGGGGTCACCTGAAGGCACCAGCCTTGAAATACATCTGTTCATGTCAGATTCCATTCAATCATCTCAAATCTTTCGTAGAAGTGTTTTATATTTGCTCAGATTATTTTTCTTATAAAGCCATTTTACAAATGCCATGAGTGATTTTTCCCAATAAAATAATCTAGGTCTTCTTGCATAGGGATTAGTTATAACAATGAATAATGAGTAACTTCATCTTGTGTTGTACATTTACCTTGATCTTTTGAATTGTAATTCAGAGCACAACCTGCTCTGATTGCCTTGCATTGCCCTTTGGAGAAATGTTATCTCTCTGCATTGATTAACATAGCTGGATGTTTAAAGTTAGACTGTGTGACTACTGCTTCTGGAATCAGTAGAATTACACTGATTTATGCAAACTTAAGGGGTGGCCAGATAGTCCTAATTAGATCATTTTGCTATTAATGATTTCTACCTTAGTTAGGAGGTGCTAATGATTACTTCTTTCTGTTGAAGTATTCATCTAGTTTTATTAAAAAGTCTGCAGACTTCATAGTCAAGAGTTGTGTCTATTTTTACTAACCTTTTCCTTCCCAAGATATCATCATCCTATTACCACAGCCACCACCCTATTTATTTTTTGGGCAGTGCTGCAGATACTGATGAGTTATCCGATCCGGTAACTTCACTGAATTACCCACCGTGATCCTAGTGCTGTTCTCAGCAATATTACAGCTAGCTTATAAGCTTTCACTGCAGGCTACCTGTCCCAGATGCATTAAATTGCACTACCTAAATTGAATATCACCTCAAAAAAAAAAATGTTTATGACCATTTTCCTCTTGCATAATTGGGTATGGAATGAGACTATTTTGGGAAGGCTTATGCTGCAAGACATGAAAATGGAAAAAGCTTTATCTGGAAGGAAATGTTTAAAATGACTCTTCACATAGGGCTGCCATTTCAAAAGCAGAGCCCTATCAGACTTTGTATATTCAAATATTCTGAACTATGAAAACTTTGTGATAGCACAGTTGCTTGCTCCAAGAGGGCTCAGCTATTTGGATTTACAAAGTCCAGAAACCTTGACTCAGTTTAGGGTTCTTCAGGAAGGCTGTCTTCATTTAAGAGCTGATGATATTCCACATACTTTTAATTCCAAGAGCATGACAAGTCCCTCTTTTCTCAGAAAAGATGCCATTCTCATAAGAAAAAAAGCATGCGTGATGGCATTCTTATTAAAAAAAAAAAAAAAAAAAAAAAAAGAGTTCTTATATGCCTGGAAATTGTTATTTGACACTACAATCCATATAAACTAGAAACTCATGCTAATTTTCTAGGTATCTAATGTAGGTATCCAGAGAGCACTAAGTCTTATAGCATAACAGGAAAGTAAGTTACCAGGCTCTTAAATGAAAATCCA